TTAATCTGTATGCTACATTGTGGATGTTAATATCTATTCAATTAAATAAAGAAAAATAAAAGAATAAAGCTTAAAAATTATACAAAATGCAGTATTTAATTACTAATTTAACAAATTATGAACTTTTAGAGTTTTTAAATAGTGCTTTCTTCTTTGGTAACAATATTATATTTTTAAGTTTGATAATTATGAAAATATGTATATATAGTAATTCATGGCATGTTTATTTTTGTATTTAATACAATTATAAATGTACATTTCTCATCAATAAAATATCACAGTATCTTTTTTATAATTTAATTTTAATATTGAGATTGTTTTTATTCAGTGGAAAAAAAATGTGTAGTTGGTCCCTATTAATTATACATACATATAAGAGTGTCGCACAAATAATTCTATGCAGTCTTTTTAAGATAATATAAAAATACTTATAAATATAATCAATTAAAATACATATAATCAAAATTGTATGTATTAAAATTCAATAGCATATAAAAAAGATTTTTTGAAATTATATATATATAATAAAAATCCAACATTTTATATATATATATATATATATATATATAAATATAAATATATATTTATTTATTGTATATCATAAATATATATTTATTTATTTATATTTACCTATCTTTTTTTATATATATATGGTAGAAATACAATGTGAGTTATTTTATTTTGCAAAATTTTTGAAAGTTAAACTATACAATGAAATTATTTCATATAATACCGAGATTCTTTTCATAATAAAGATTAAGAGAGAGTTAGATTTATCATAAGATTTATAAAAGTCATAAGATAAGGTTAATTGCATATTGTATAATTTATCTCTCATTTTTTAAAGTAAATAAATATCAAAGTTACATTGCTTGAACTGGTGCGTTTGAAGTATGTTGTCTTTTTGAGGGATGCAAGACAATATAGTACAAAAGCATTGCTGTAATTCCCAAGAAAAAGGAAATGATACAAATAATAAAGATTATATTAAAGTACTAAGCCTCTTTAACTGCAGGAGGACAAGCATATTGCCATAATAAATTTGCTGCAATATTTTCAAAAAAGCAGATAACATAGAAAGATAGATGTTTTCAAAATGTTTTGCTATCTACAGCATTGAGATATATAAAAATGTGCACTATGCCAATAACGGAAGCAAATAATATGGAATAAATGCGTTCTTTAATTGTAGGCTGCATATGTGGTGGATGACTGCAAGTCCGACAAAATTCCAATATTCCATGGGAATCTATCAAAATCCATATTGTCATACTTAGCCAATGTATTACACAATATATTATGGTATATACAGGCCAGATGCTTGCAATGACACTGAGCAATAAAATCCTTGCCACTACAATCACAATGATAAAAATGATTAAATAAATTTAAAATAAATTTTTAAAATATATTATTTTGATACAAATTGTGTGATGAATAATATTTAATTTTGTATATTAATTATTGGATATATATGTACCTAAAATAAGAAAATGCCAGAAAAATTGAATTTGCTTATTTATTTAAAGATGCTTATCATATACAAAAATGAATGATATAATCTCTAAAAACTCACCTTTAAAAAAAGGTAAAAAAAGGCGACCAGTTAAGGGCACACCATTAACAAAAATTATCCATTGCAAACCCATGTACAATAGAATTGTATGAAAAATTATCGATTATAAACCAATGTACAATCGTAACAAAAGTAATGAAATAAAAAAAAAATTGCGCCAAGTGAAAGTAGAAACTTGTACCAGTGGAAAATTAAAGTTGCAGACATATATAGAGTCGTATAATGAATCAATAAAAATTTAAATTTGCAAATGTAAAATTGTACCATAAAAAAACTTATCTTTTAAAAAAAAGATAAACAAGATGCCAAGTCCATGCGCCATGTGAAAAAGTGTTAAACAAAAAAGTATTTTTAAGTAAAAAAATCTATCAATTGACAAAAATTTATGTTCTAAAATTAATATCTCTACAAAAGTAATGTCCAATTATTGCGCGAATAAATAAACATTTTTATAAAAAATTAAAATTTAAAAACTTATGCAAATTTAAAATTAATATAAAATAAAAAGAAATAAAAAAATTTTAGTTAAAAAAACTGGGCGCGCTGCAATGAGTTTAAAGTAACAATTTAATTTTAATATCATTAGAATATTATTTAGCAGCGCGCCCAGTTTTTTTAACTAAAATTTTTTTATTTCTTTTTATTTTATATTAATTTTAAATTTGCATAAGTTTTTAAATTTTAATTTTTTATAAAAATGTTTATTTATTCGCGCAATAATTGGACATTACTTTTTGTAGAGATATTAATTTTAGAACATAAATTTTTGTCAATTGATAGATTTTTTTACTTAAAAATACTTTTTTGTTTAACACTTTTTCACATGGCGCATGGACTTGGCATCTTGTTTATCTTTTTTTTAAAAGATAAGTTTTTTTATGGTACAATTTTACATTTGCAAATTTAAATTTTTATTGATTCATTATACGACTCTATATATGTCTGCAACTTTAATTTTCCACTGGTACAAGTTTCTACTTTCACTTGGCGCAATTTTTTTTTTATTTCATTACTTTTGTTACGATTGTACATTGGTTTATAATCGATAATTTTTCATACAATTCTATTGTACATGGGTTAGATGTATTTTCTTCACTTCTTCTTTCTTTCATTCAATACGCCGAATTATCTCCTCAGTTTTCTCTTACTCTGCTCAGTAGGCAAGCAAATACTCGACTCCGCTTTCTCGTTTCTTTTCAGGTGACCCAATTTCAATTTCAACATTTTCCAATCTATGTATATATCTACAATAATATTTCGCCAGTTCGAAGCTTATAAAAAATATATTTAAAATGCTTAAATCAATATGAATCACAATTGAAAAATTTATGTTAAATTTAACTAATATCAAATCTCCTAAATAAACCACAGAAATTTTTGTCTTAATTTAACATAACTATATAGATAACACAAGCGCACGCAAAGCTAAATACACTTTTTGTCCGCGAAGGTACATAATTTTAATTTGCTGAATTTCAATTATGTACATAATTTTAATTCATCGAATTAAAATTATGTACATAATAGAAATTTGGGAATTCAAATTATGTACATAATAAAATACATTATTTTTACATTATGAGGCGCTCGAACGATACGCACCTACCCTAATATACATATTTCGCAACGCGCCAGCATCCAATCAGCATCGCAGAAAAAGAGTCTTCAATGTTTTGATATATTCGAGTAATCGACTTAACATGCACTTTTTAAGAAAAGGATATGGATATGTTAAATGAAGATAGATGTGTTAATATTTTAAAGTAAATGCAAAACTTCAATTAATTTAAAATAAATTTTGTGTAAAATTAACACAATTTTAATGTAAAAATTAACTAAAAATATGTTAATTTTAGATTTTATCATGCCAACTTATATTATAAAATAAAAAATCATCTCAAAAATCAAATCAAAATCAGTTTTTCTATAAATTTTAACAGATAAATCTTGTCACTAATAAAACAGAACATATTTATTGTGTAAAATTAAAAATAGATGCACATTGTGTTATTTTTGCATTTTTTCGGTTGTTTTAATTATTTAACATTTGAGTTCAATTAACACAACAGCAATATGTTAAATTAACACATTAATGGTTAAATATTTAACACAAAAATTTTAATAGAGATTTTTAATAAGAAAACACAAATTTTCCTACTGTGAATGATCTATTTATTCCACTTTTCAAATATATATTTTAATTTACAATTAGATGCACATTATACGTTGTGTGACATATTGTGTGACGTATAGCGTGCATCTAACTTTACATATATTTCTTTCCTTCTTATCCTTGATAAATTAAATTCTTGAATATTTATTGCATCTTGACCCGTTAAATTTGATTTCATTAGGTATATCAATGCGAATTTAAATTTTTTATTAAATGACTTGTTCAAAAAGAACTTGTGCACAATAGATACAGTTTTTTCTCTTCCTCTTTCGTAATTTAATTCTTAAACATTTAATTTTTATGCTTGTTATTAATGCAGATAAAAATTTCCTACATATCCTTAGATATTAAAAATCGCTATGTATAGTTATTTGTTTACGACAAAAATAAATTGTAGATTGTAAATAATGATAAATAGAGCAAATATATATATATATGATAATATTGATAATGATATAAAAAATATATATCTTTAATATGTTTATTATTTTTTCTTATTTATTTTTTGGTTTCTTTCAGGTGCTAAATTAATATGATTCAAATTATAAAAAAGAAATATCAAAAAATAAAAATGACAAAAAAGTATCGAAATATATTATGTTAAATAAAAATATATAAAAAAGCGTGTGTATAATTAAATCAATTACAATATACTAAATATAACATATGCAGTATAATACTTGAATAATTAACAAAAAAAAGAAATTGAACTACCTATTTAAAAAACATTTTTAATTATTTTCGAAACTATTTACGGCATCAATATTTCTTAATATAAACCAATATTTTTATCATAAATCGGTAGCAGTATATCTAAAAGGTATTTTATAATTCAGTTGTATAAATTAGAGAATATTCAAGGATATATCTCTTGATAAAATGTTAATTCTCAATTGCGCTCGGAAAGCAGAGAGAGAGAGAGAGAGAGAGAGAGAGAGAGAGAGAGAACCGTTCAGCGCGCAACAGGTGTTTCTCTTCTCTCTCTCTCTCTCTCTCCCTTCCTTCCTTCCTTCCTTTCTCTCTTCATCCATCTGAATGTCGGATATATTCTCACGTTATTTACGTATAAATTCCACATTAGATATTAATTATTTTTTCTATTTTTTTTTCCGCTCGTGTGACAAGAACCTTCCTGTATGTAGATATTTCTCGTTCTCGTCCCCCCTCCCCCACCCCTTTTGCTCCCCACTCTCCGAATAAGACGCTGAAAGAGGTAAGGGTTCTAGCCAACGGGAGAGAGGGACCACGTCGACGCGCAGTTGCCAGGTGAGGCAACGACGACGTGTTTGCCTTGTTACGCTCACCGGGGGGACATACGGTTAGTTGTTGCATAGAACTTTGCGGACTTTCAACGTCGCTCCGTTCGAGCTAGCGAGCGGCCACGAGAAAAAAAAAAATCCAAGTATTACCTCTCGAAGCTCGGGAATACCTGTTCTCGGATTTTTCCTCTCCAGGTTCACAGGTGTGCGTGCCCTCGATTCAAATCGTCATCGTTGCCATAACCTCAAAAGTTTGCCGCGAGTTTCCGTTTCGTTTCGCGAATAGAGAGAGAGAGAGAGAGAGAGAGAGAGAAACGATGTCGCGTGTAGTGGATAATCAGTGAATATAATCAGTGATATAGGGACGTCTCGATATCTCTCGAGACGTCGTGCGAGTGTGTGGCACGGAGAGCACGTAATAGCAGGAAGAGAGGAGAGAGTGAGGGGGGAATCAACGAGCCAGCACTTCGGAGCTGCCAGGTGTGCGGCTCCCACGGGAAACAATGACGGGGACAAGGACGGGATCGGATAGCGGTGGAGAGGGAGGAGGCTCGCCGAATATCCTGGTTGCCCTTTACGTGGCGACCGCCGGTCTTCAAGGAAATGCGCTCGGCTCCGACGAGGAGGAGATCACGCTGCTCGTTTACGTGCTCATCAACGAGCAGCAGAATAAGGTAACGTGGAGCGAGAGATAGATAGATAGATAGATTTTATTGTGCGCCCTGGGATAAGAGAGTCATAGATAGAAAAGCAATGCGTTTTTACAGAAAAGATAGAAATAACGAATAAAAGAAGATAAAGAAAAATATAAAAACATTAACGGACCAATATTTTTCTCGCCTATTTCTTTACAGGGGATGTTAAGAGAAGGAACAAGAGGAATTTCTGAGATCCCAACCGTAGGATTCAAATTCCTTAGTTTCCAAATTTTCTTTCTTTCTTAATTGTCGCAATAACATCGCGTTTGACGACTCTATTGGTCGAGAAGAATGAAGTGTAGATAAAAACATTAAGATAAAAAAAGAGATAGAGAGAGAAAGATTGTCCGAGGCGGAAGTGATTCGCCACGGATGAGTTGATGCGCGACTCGGGATTTATATCTTTTCGCTACGTCATCTTTCTATTGCAACGATCGAAAATTCTGCCGCATTATTGAAGACAAACTATAAAGGGGGATATTAAAATCTCATTATTATTATTATTTTGTTAATCAAATTTATCAATTATCAAATACAAAGTGATAAAATGATAACTAGTTATTAGAGGTTAATGAAGGTGTGTTCATTTTAGTTGCGCTTTCTCTTACATTTTCTATATTTAAGATAATAGGCAAGTATGGATAATTATATAATATTAAATGGATGAAATATACAAAATATCATTAATACACTTTAAAAATATAAACGTTCAGACATATACAAAAAAGTAATATTGAAAAGTGGATTTTCTGCAACAATATTGCAATATTTATAGTGAAATTTTTGTAAATGAAACTTTATGTCGGTTTTTTTTATAATCATTAAGGTGATGCTAAAATCTATCCTATTTTACCAATAAAATATTAATTTGAAATTTTATGTTTATTTTTGTATTGCTTTTATAAAATTAAAGAGCCTTTTCAGGTATTAAAGTACATATGTTAATAAAGACCATCTTCGATTGAAAAAAAGAAAAAATTTCGAAAATTTATTGACAAGCTGTTAGTTGATAAACATTTATTTTATATTAAAGTTATGCAATTTGCAAGTACAAAATAAGCCCAAGAGAGCAAGGAAGGCGTGTGAAAGAATGACAGGAAATTTCAATCAGCTCTAGCGATCACCTTAAAATACAATTTAAAAATATAAACATTCAAACATATGCAAAAAAGTGATATTTCAATTTTCTGCAGCAAGTTTACAATATTTATAGTGAAATTTTCGTAAATGATAAAATTTTATGTCTGGTATTTTATAATCATTAATTGTTTGAAACTATAATAACAGATCTATCATAAGTCTATCTATTCTGAATTTGAGATCTTTGCAAGTTAGTTATGTAAATTAAAATTATGCAAGTTTAGTTATGTAAATTTTCTTTCTCTCTTTCTCTCTGTACATATATAGGTTCATATTGTAAGGACAATTATAATTTGAAAGAAAGCAGCAAAAATTACTTACACAGTTTAATCCAAACCATCGATTTAAATTTTAATTTTATTCCTTTGTATTATCGTATAGATGAAACAGATAGAACAATTTTGTAATAATTCTGTTAAACTAATTCTGCAAAGCATACAGCTTTTGCTAAAATATAATTTTATCTTGAATATCTTATCGTCAATATTTTTTCTTTGTAAAATTTTAGATTTAAATATGTTTAAATAATAATTATATATAATTTTATAATATAATGTGGTTTTCACAAATAATTACAAAATTAATTTCGAAAATGTATTCAGCAATAATTTAAAAAAGTTAAATGATGCTCACTAATACTACAATTATGTTAGCATTTATTTCAAGTATAAATTTTATAAAGATTACTTTATATTGCAATAATTAAATTTAGATGAATTAATAATTTCAACATTTAAATTTTAAATGATAACACAATTGTAACATTTGAAAATTAAATTAATGCTAAAATTTTTCTGCATACTTTCTTATCTATTTATGTTTACCTTCAATATGCCTTTGAAAGAAACGGTGAAAAGAAATACAATGAAAATCACAGTCGCTAAAATATATCCTTCTTATATCGCGAAAAAATCGGAGTTTACATTCTTCATAATAAACGCGCGCGCGCATGCGCATTCGCGTCGATTGAGCATCGTGATTAACGAGATTTTCAAAACTTTGTACTTCGGCCTGATCCAACATATCTATGCATTGTAAAAAAACCATCGTCAACGAATCATATATGCGTGTCTATCTTGATTACGTAGTTCGATAAAAAAAAATAAAACCAGAGAGGAGAGGCATTTCTCTCAGTTTTTTTGACGCTGAATATACGATTCCGGACTCTAAATTGCTCCGTCATATCACAAGTTTGAGCTCAAATTGTAAAAAAACATTGCATTTTATTATTTTATAGCTAAAATTCATATATTAGAATTAGATTGTAATTAAAATTGCAAAAAGCATGTTGTTAGGATTTTCAACTCTTAAAAGGGATTTATTGTCGATTATAGTTGATAAAATAAATTATTAAAGCTCAAATAGTTTCAATTATGTTTATTTAAACTTAGGATTTTTTTTTAGGTTAAATATGAATCTGATAAAATTAACAAATTGAAAAGCAAATTAATATCAATGTCAAAATTCAAAAATATTTGATTTTTAAAATTTATATGTGTATACACTAAAATTTATATATAAATTTTGAATTTATCAATTTTAACATTAAAATTATATACGGAGTGACAGCAAAAAATGCAACTATATACAAATTCAAAGAGCTCTTCTTTTCCGAAAAATATAATTGAAAGAGATAAAAAAAAATATTACAATTACGCAACTGCGCGGTATAGCATATTTTAGAATGTAAATATATTCTAGGCGATTAAAAACATTATTCAATTTAGAAAAACAAATTTTAATAATTTGTACATAATTAAATAAATCAAAACTTAATATAATTGATAATAATTTTTTAATTTGCACATTTTAATTATTTACTCGTAAGTATTATAATTGCTTAATGCAATTAAAATATAATATATACGTTACACTTATATCGAAATTTATAATGGAAACAAGGATATAAATAGAAAATATTTACGTTGAAACAAATAATTTATAAAAATATATTATTTGAATATATATATATATATATATATACACACATATATATATTGCATATAGTTTAATTATGAAAAGTTACATACCATGTACTTTACGAGTAATGAATTTTTTAAATAATGATAATTTTATTTGTTTTTAAATTATTTGATATTTAGGCTCAGACTTTTTAACTTATTAGAAATGTCTTAAAGATTCTTGTTTTTCGAATGTTTTTTCAAGAATATTTAAAGTTTTTGCACTTTTGCACTACTTGATGGAATTTTAATGTTAATTATATAAATCATCATTTGACATTGATATTATACATATAAATAATTTTTAGTAAAATTTTATATTATAAAATAATATTTATTTTTGATGGACTTTATAACAAAGATTTGTATCAAAAGTCATCTAATTTTTCTTAATTTGATTTTTTAATTTATTAGTTGTTCATTGAATATTAATAAAAAATATACGTATGTCATGTATACATGCATAAATAAGAAAATAAATATTATATATTATATGTTAGAAATAAAAAAATTAAATGTTATAAACTTAAGATTATTATTTAACTTAAATATTTTTATATATTTATATTTAAAGAGCTTATTTTGTCATAGCTGTCATTAAATAACTAAATTATAAGATAAAGTCACTAAAATTGACAATGAGTTAATTAATTTTTTATAATTTTTTATCGAAGCAATTGTTTTCACAAATAATAATTTTTCGTTTATTAGATTTTATTTGTATAATATATAATATATTTATTGCTTAACTCTTTTAAATTATTAAAACATTAAAACATAGGACAATATTATATTCTAATACTTTTATATTCTAATATATTCATATTATTTTTTGTTATATTGCATACATATTCATATTATTTTGCATGCTTATGCTTTACGTGATATTTTTCCTTGATTTAGCTTTACATATATTTTAAAATAAGTTTTATTTACACATGTGCGATTTAATATGCTTAAAATATTTGTCGTCTTATTTAAGTAGTCTAACAAATTTAAAGATGATATATCTTTTAAATTTAAACTAATAAGGTTTCGATCATCACAAGATTTTCATTGAAGACAGAACATTTTATTAAACCGTTTCTGTCGTTTTATTTCCTTCTTATAAAATTTAACTTTTTTGAAAGACTCCAAATCGAGAAATTTTTTAAATAAAGAAATAATAAAATAAAATTCTAATTTAAATGAAAAGAAACTTGTAGGAAGTGATAGTAATCACTTGATTATTTAATTATTATAAATTTGTGATTTTTGAAAATTAGGAATTAATTAAAAAAGTGATTTATATATGTATGTTAGAGTAAATATATTAATTTAGAGTATCTTCTTCTTACAAGAATTCTGAATTATACCTGCAATAATGACATAATAATCGCATAATTAATATATAATTACGTCAGAGTTGATATTATACAACCTATATTTGCATGCAATCAGATATGAATTATCAATTTCGTATTCATTAAGTCTCGAACCATGCCACGGTGACGTCGACAAAAATTCAAGAAGCCGCGTTGCTCAAAACTGCGTGACTTCTACTCTCTCGCGGAAGTTGGTCTCTTTTCATCACGAAACTCATGCCATGCCGGTGCATGTCGTTGGTTGCCATTGTTTCTCGAATTATCCAACGGAGGCGGAGCATCGCGCCCTCGGAAGGTCGTCCATTACCTCCAGCCTCGGATCGCATAAATTATATCCGTCTGCACATTTTGCTTTCTTCATTATTATTTTTTTTTTTTTTTAATTTCTCCAATCCCTTTTATTTCTTTTCTTTACCACACAGTTTTCAATTTTGCAATCAAATCTTCCATCTCTTTATTTATTATTATTATCTCTTTCTTAAGCTAGCTATTTGTATACTGATTCGCGACT